GGAATCTGTCCCAATTAACAAACAAAAGTGGAGACATCTAATATCCTCAGCAGCGACCTGTGAAATCGTAGCTGAATTTTACTAAAAGTACATTCAGAGCTCCCCTAGCTACTCTTGCTCTTCATGATTTTGAGGAAAGCTCTGAGTGCACTTGCTCAGCTGTAAATCCATATGCAAAAGGTAGTTACTGAGGGTGTTATGTACACAGGGTCTTTATCCTTCTAATTCTCCATCTTGCTCAGAGCTAAATCATGATTGAAATTACACACAGTAGTTTTGTAATTGAAGTGCTGATTATGTAGAGACCTCCAAATTGGTCTCACGTAGATCGCAACCAATTTTCAGAAGAACTAAGTAGCATTTATCAGTCTTGCATACTGACTCCTAGATAGCAAATATAATGGCTTTGCATATATGAGGGGGTTTTTTTGATGAAACTTGAGAAAATTAATATGATGATGCAATGAAGGAAGTAAACAATTCTGCCCATCTTTCCTAATACAGTTAAGTCGTATTTTTAATCTGGAATTGGGACTAATTTGGAACGTCCCCAGAGTTAGCTTAAATTTGGATTTAATGCTACATTTCAAACTTGTCAAAACTATGAGCAACTAAAATCAGATTTACGTATATTTTCTTTTCTCCGTAAATGGATTATCCAAGGATGTGTGGGAGGGAGGGAATTTCAGCATGGCAATATGTTTTACCCCTTTTTTATTTTCAGCTACTATTGTTAAAGAAACATCTGTTTGTACTTGGAACAATTGTTCCCAAAGACATCCTTATCTCCTACTAGTCTTTATTAAGAAAAACTTTAATGTGATGGGCATCTAACCAAAACCCATTTTAATGATGGTATGTGAACTGCTTTAATAAAATCAAAATATTATTAATTCTGTCATAATAAAAATTGCCCAGTTCCAGATTTTGTGCATTCATTCATTACTGTTGTTTTAAAATAGTGATGGAATGAGATGGCAAACTTCATTAAAAGCTTTCTTTAAAAGTAATGCAGTTGAGTAATTTCATGGCTGAGTTGCAGATGAACTCAATACAGCCTTTCATTTCAGAGACTTACTAAGTTTATGCTTATATCTGCAGCAAAGATATTTAAATATATCACACAGTTGGTATAGTAAGAAAAACAGTTGACATTTCTTCCATAATTTCTCATCTATTTGTCTGTCTTAAATTCCTCTGCATATATATTAACATCATCATCTTTGCTTTAACTTGTAGATCTGGCAGTGTGGGGGAAAACTGTTGTTTGTTCCCTGTTCTCGTGTTGGACACATCTATCGTCTCCAGGGTTGGCAAGGAAATCCACCTCCTGTGTACGTTGGGTCTTCTCCTACATTAAAGGTACTGTTTTGCCACGACTTTGAAGGTGGGTTTTTATTTTAGGTATCAACAGTTTTAGCTAAATCTATTTAAATCATCAGTAGCAATTTAGAGAGCACTTAATCCAAAGCTATTTGGTGTCTAAAGCTAAGATGGTCATCCCCACGAGAGGGAAATCTTTGTGCCCATCCCACTGTTATTAGGAGTAGAGATTCCTGGAACCCATCTTCTTGCTCTACCCCTCCACATCTTTGAGGTAGAAATCACATTTCCTCTAACTTATTCTCAGCACCCCAAGCCTTTGCTGCGCTGTGCCCAACTGAAATACAAACAACTCTAGTAACTACAGCACACTCCTACAGATGATGATCATGGGTTTGAAACCCACCTTTGGCTTGATTGGGTGTGATCCTAGGCTGAGTTAGTGAATGCTGTAATCTAGCATCTCTCAGACCTTTGTGGCTGCATTTGTTAATTAAGAAGCAGTGAACAACACCTGGAAAAATGGCATGTTTTGCACTTCATTGTAAAGGTTGGTAACTCCTCAGGCACCTTGCAGGTTTGGAAGTGTTGCTCAAGCCATATTAAAAGTAGGCATCACCTCAAGAAAAGAGTGAGTAAGCTGCCTGTGTCTGAAGAGATGACTTGAATCAAGAAAAACTGTTTCATATAAGTTTCCACCTACCAGCAGGAAGAGAGATGACCCTCCTGTTAAGGTTTCCTGTTGCATGGTTTAAGCTTCCTCTTGTGCAGTGTTTTGGCATTAGTAAATCCCATTCCCAAAGGCCCAGTTCTTTGCAAATTCCAATTCCAGAGCCATCTTCCTTGGTGTTACCTGTGATGATGATACAGGGTTACAGAGAATGACTTGAGCCAAGCTAGCAGTTGGTTCTGTTGAAAAGGGAACATCCCAGCCTCACTTAACTGTAGAAAACTAACCTGGCACACGGGGGGAAGGGAGGAAAAAAAAACAGTGTCCTCTGTTAGTGATGTGAATTGATTAACATTTTGATCAAACAAGCACTAGGACCAGTACAAGGGAGGGTAGGGGAAAGTGGGCAGAGCTGGGAGTAGAGACAGAGTAATGGGGACAGGATAGCAAATGATAACTCCATTGCGCCGTTCAGGCAAGATGTTTGTTTGCCTTGCCTGAAATTATAAAATCCATTTCACTGTTCTAAAAATCTGATCAAAAATACTTACTGCATATCTAAACGCCTTACATGACTCTGCTTGTCTGCTTACTGAATACAACAAAATGCTGCTGAGCATTCTTAAACATAAAGTTGCTTCTCTGTACAAGGCAGGATGCAGGAATCGCTTTCTCCCTCTTCGGGCACCCACCTATCCCCATAGTGAATGTGCTTTTCTGTAGCTTTGTTAAATTTATGCTGGTTGTAGATTAAAGTAAAACTCAAAATAATTTGTGCCTTTAGATCTAGAAAGACTGTTTTAACACTGGGTCATTAATGCTAGAAGAATTGTATGAAGTGAAGTGTGCATCTAGAACATGTACAGGTAATATAGAAATAAGAGGCATCAAAGAGACTGGGAAGAAAGATGTGAGGGAGAGGCTTGTTAACCAGGTGAGCTATCCATTTTTTCCCCTTCTCCAAGCAGCAATAAACCACTTTGCTTAAGAAGATAAAATCTCCTTGGTGTGTCATAGCTGACCTGTTTAAGACTTAATTTTTTCACCCTTGGTGAACTAATTCCCTGCATTAAAACTGTAGAAGGTGAATGCAAACTCTGAATTGCAGTTCTGGTACACAGCAAATGATTGCAACACTTTATTGAGCCTGAAGAGTCTTTATTTTCAAATAGACATTCTCTAATCTTAGAAAAAGACTTCATACTCTCATTAAGCAAGGCAGTTTATTTTGCTGGCTTCAGTCCTAAACTGCCATTTGAAAATAATATGCATCTCTTGTGTAATCTGCTGAAGGTGACAAATTACTAGTGCTATATAATAATTCCATGCTGTCACTTTTTAAGAGGAGAAATCCTTAAATTTCTGGAATTGACACGCAGTTACATCTGACCTGTTGTGTGTGCTTTGAGGTAGCAGCGATGTCCTTGTTCTTCACAGAACTATGTCAGAGTTGTAGAAGTGTGGTGGGACGAATACAAGGATTATTTTTACGCCAGTCGGCCGGAGACAAAAGCGCTCCCCTACGGAGATATATCTGAGCTGAAAAAATTCCGTGAAGATCACAACTGCAAAAGTTTTAAGTGGTTTATGGAAGAAATAGCATATGATATAACTTCATATTATCCACTACCACCTAAAAACGTGGACTGGGGAGAGGTAAGCACAGCACATAACCTGTATATATTTTAGGAGCTTTTTTTTTAAAATTGGGAATTCAAAAGGAAGCGACTGTTATTGACATCAACCTGAGAACAGGCTTTTTGATTACTACTATACTAAGGTATATGATACTGGCCAGAGAGCTAGAGAGAGAGAACCCTAGTAAAAAAATTATATATATACTTCAAGAGGTGCAATCTTTTTCATTAGCTCTATAGTTCCTTGAAGAATTACTTTATCTCTAGCCCTGTCTTCAGTTGTCCAAAGCTCTTTTTTTTTCCGTAATTGGAATTTAGTTTTTTCTTTAAAAGACAAAAAAAAAATGCAAATCCTGTGTGTGTAGGAGTATTGGCAAACATTAATAGGTGAAAATCTTTTTCTGCGAAGGCCTAGAGAATAGACCATGAAATCCATGTGGAGTACATTCTGCCTACGTTTGCTAGCCTGTGATGTACTTGTACAGTTACAGCCTCAGTAAATCCCTTATCCGCCTGCAATAGTTTGATATGATTGTGTAATAATCATCTCTGGCATTAACATATAAGGGTAAGACTGTGCTAAGTTAAGGATGTGGTTACAAATACGGCATTTTCCCATAGTTGACAGAGCATGTCACTGGGCAGGTGGAGGGCCCTTCGCTGAACCCTGCCTGTTTCATTCCGGCTTTTAAGCCCACACCTTGAAGAGCTCTTACTGCAGGTCTCCTGCCTGCTTTCAAATGAGTTGGGTTTTTTTTTGTTTGTTTGTGGGTTTTTTGCCTTTTTCAGCTGGTTTCAGCCTTGCCTTGTCTCTCCTATCAATTTTACTTCTGTAGATCATGGAGGCAAAATCAGAAAACTATCTCACTGGCAGGGGAGAAGTCCTGTGTCCCACCAAATTTAACAGCCTTCTTTCCCAAGATATGATGGACCCTTTTTTGTAATTTCAAAAGAGCATTAGAAAGTACAGATCTGTTTCCTATGGCCAAGAGTGTGTCATCTCTAACTTCTCTGAGGAATTAGTGATACAGAGCACGTGCATGGTGGAAGGGGATACAAATAGTCTTGTATCTGAGGGACCAGGTGAACAATGCCACCTTTTTTTCTTACCTAAAAGCTAGCACAAAGCATCAGTTAGCCTTAGACCTCCTTTTGAATCCACATAAAGGCTTAGGAAGGCACCTATTTGTAACGCCGCACTAATTGCATTTCCAAACCATCAGGAATTAAAGTGTGGGGTTCATCTTCCATAACGCTTTCTGGAAGTCAGGTCTGAGCTTAGTCCTCCAGACTTTCTTCTACCGTCACAAAGGAGAAAGAGGCTCTGGCAAAGAAAATAGGTCTGGAAAGAATGTTATTTGTGTTACAAAGTCTTTGTAAAGCTGCTTGCTGGCCCTTCTGAGAAGGGAATGGGATAATCAGCAGTTCAGGCATGCTTTCTGACGGGACTTGTTCTTTATTCCTGTGCCTGCCCCTCATCAATTTTTTTTTTTTTT